CATGTAAACAGAACTAAGGTTCGAAGGCTGGTTCTGCAAGCGACCTCTAGGGGTCGGCGGTCGACGTGACTACGTAAGGTAGAGGGAGAGAGAGCTATTCGGTGACTACTGTGAAATGTGATTCCTGGTTGAACATCCCAACATCAACGACATTATTCATTTTTGCTTGAGGCGAAATACCCATTAGTGAGGGTTTCACACATCGGAAAAAGCGTGGTTGTAGCTACCCAGGTAAACGACACAAAACACATCATGAAATCTTCATTTTTCAACGACAACATCCAACCATAGAAAGCTGAAACAGAAAATATCACCTAGCAGAAATCACATTAACTATACGTTTGTTATTCTTTCAACAGACTGATAAAACACTAGACAATAGATAAGAATGATGGGGATCACTGTGGTCTGTGCTAAAACAAAAACGATTGTCGGTCCGATTCTTCTGGTGTTTTGTGGTTGTAACTTCCACATTGTTTTCGTCATCATTTCAGTCGTACCCTTTTGTTTAATTAATTTTGTTAAATAGGCACCATGCCCGTGCGTAAGCCAATAACAAATATCTATAAATGTGTTTCAACAGGTGGTATTTGAATAACTACAAATTTTACAGGTAGCGGAGGACCGCTTGTGCGGTTCTTGCCGTCCGTCAGGTATAAGTATCCTATCATCTTATGTCAGAGGGAGGTGTAATTTTGACGCCAATAATTCATTTGCAACGTTGAAGAAATATTATCAACCTAATAAATTTCAAGATCCTGCTGGCAGTATTTCAATTAATTATTATTATTATTATCATTATTAATTATTTTAATTAGTTCATCATTTAGCCAGGGGCAGTAATTGTGCCATGCGAAATATAATCGGTTAATAGCATTTATCTTAGGATGGCTTTTTTCGAACAACCTAATCATTGCACGCGGTTATTAGAAATCAAACTGTTAAGACAATTTCGTAATTTCAATAAAACCCTCAAACTGGCCCTTCAAACACACAAACCTTTTATACCCAATAACGTCAAACTACACAATTAGGTTGAAGGTGGGAATTCGGAAAAATGCAAAAATGTCGCTCACAGCTAAACGAGGTTATCCGGATCAGGCAAAATTTAGCCGCAAATATCTATACTTGTAGTCGTGCTTTTTTGAACCATAGAGAATCGGGCGCTATTCTCTTTCATCTTTATTCTTTTGTTTCTCACTAACATTGGATCACTATATTCATTCGTTAACATTATCCAGAGAACAAAACATTACTCGTTGCAACAAAAAAAAAACAGATCAATNTATTCCACCAAGCTAGCGATCAATGAACATGGTTGATGATGAACCTAAACGGTTGGAAAAACATACGTTAGCTCGAACCTATTGGGTCGCCGAGCATCAAGCACATGTTGCATTTTCCCATTAAAAACTCCAAAAGGTTCTGATGTGACTGACAGGACAGCAAAATCTCGCTGGATGGCATGACGGATGGGTTATGTTTACATCATTTTCACAAATGCGCAAACGGAGGATCCACATTTCGAAAGTGTCCTATAAGCATTAACTATTCGAGAAAAATCAGTAGTAAACTAGCATAATAAGTGGGAACGTTTCGCTTGAAATGAATCAACACAATTTTCCAAAGGACGACCAACGAACAACTGAAGGCGGAAATGCTCATTGTATTCTTCATATACCTGAGAACCAAACAAATCACCAATCGTTAAAGTATATAAAGTTTTCTAAATTGCATCGTGTACAGAGCAAAAGAGGCATGAACTGAAAGGCTAGGAAACACTGGACAGCTGTTTTGATCTGCTTGGGTCTCATCAGCATTGCGAATCCATCGACCCAACTGAGCATCGAACCCGGGACCTTACGGGCAAAACGCAGACATAGTACCCACTCGGCCACTCCGGGGTAGCTGATCAAACCGTTTTCCATTTTCCATTTACAGGATTTAGCACAACCCATCTTTGCAAACTTGTTGCAGGTTTTACACCCAGCTCATTTCAACTCTAGGCATTTGTGTAACTAAGTCCAACAGTTAAAAGCTGGGAACATGTTTGAAAAGGAAGCCTAGCAAGAAGTAATCACCTTAGAATCAAGGATGCAAACAATCATAAAAATGTAATCACGGCAGTACTTTGATTACAACTCATGGTTCTTTGTTTCAATCAAGTGCGGTGATGTCGCACTACTGCGGTTGACGAATTTTTTGACCGATCCCACAGCTGACCCGAAATTTGTCTGTGTTACACAGCCAGCTACTCTGGTTGCTGGATAAATAATATAGCCATTATCGATTCCACCGACAGTGTTTTTTTGCAAGCGCGGAGCTATATACATGCCTGATTGAACGTGCGTTCACTTTTTTGATCGGATAAGCGAATGCATTTAAAATTGCATTCATTCTGTCTGATGCAATTTCTGTACAACCATTTCACACAGAGACAACAGCCTCCTTTACCTCTTCGATAAAACTACATCAGTTAGGAACTAAGCCATATGATCACGTGATAGCGGTGTGCAAAGTAATCTGCACAATATGAGATATGAACATTTACGGTTTCACTGTCGTATTACTATTGAAGTATTAGGAATTGTGATACACTCGCATTTACGTCAACACACTCGCTGATTGTGTCCGAACAAAAAGGAACAATATAAATCCCATTAACTTCAAAACGTCAACAAGTTTCACAAATGAATGGTAGCACAATATGTCCTGATTGCCACGGTTCGATTCCGACAGGAACAATAAAATGTACTTACTGCTGACGAGTGGAGGAAGCAGTTGGTCAGAGTCCTTCATTAATTAGGTCTTTGCTGCCAATGGAATATCAACCGTACGGTTTGAGCGGACAAAATAGCAGCATTATACAGGACACTTGAAGTTTTCACAGTGGGTTAGGACAATATCCTGTCGATTTAGATGTGTTGATCACATTGTGTTAAACATTCCGTCAACCAGATGACAGTAGATTCTAGGAAGAATAGATGGATCCAAGCTATCGAGGGTCGGAGAAATGATTAAAATACAGAATGATAATCAAGTATTGCCAGAACATTTAGAAAATAATATAACGAGTCGGACGAGGAGCCAAATTCAAATGAGATTTCTTTAGATTCTGATCGACCTTAAAGGAGTATGCAGAGCATTGGGAAAACACTGCATACATGAGAGTATAGCAAGTTTCGCGAACATAGAGTTAGACTGTGCTATAGAAATCAAATAAATTTGTTCACCAAGCCGAAGGTTTTCCGCTAAGCAAACGATAGATTTAGACCACTAACATTAGGCGACTGAACTAAAATAGAGAGATCTGATTATTGCGGAATTTCATCAATCAGGGTGTCGGGAGCAGTCGCATTGACCGGTTACTGTTGTTATATTGAGTGGTTGCAGAATCTAGGAAAGTTCTTCTTGTGTAAAATTACGCTCGAGAGATTGAAAATTTCCGGTTGAATTCACCCTATCAATGTGGTGGCACAGTCTTCCTGATTTTCCTTTATTTAATATGATTTTATTTTTGGACGTACTTCTTAATTATGTAAATTTTTATTCAAAATTTCCGAATTGAGATGCAAAACTGAATTGCTCTGAACACAAATCGGGCCGCGTGTTTTTATTTCCATACTTCATCTGTTTTATACTAATTGCTACTGGTTAAAGCTCCTCACTTTCTTTGGAATATAAGTAAACCACAGATGTTTATAAGGAAGCGAAATATTACTTAAACTGTTTGTGGCTCTAGTGATATTAGTCTGACGGCCAAACTACAAACATGTGTCAACCTGGGGTTGGTCGACTTAGAAGGATAGATATTTGGGTAACACGGTGTTCCAACAATATTTTCTAAACATATTTGAATCCTGTCCATTGACCACGGACGAGGATTAGTGGTAAAACGTTTATCCGTATGATAAATGCACATAGTTGAATGTTGTCTGCCTCCTTCTTTGGTTGTTTCGTCTGAGTTTATATAAATTCAAGTTTTTTCTTTTATCCCATTTTTCTTTTCATTTTACTACCTTTTATTGAATACACAAGGATACAATTTTCAGGAAGGGTAGAGCGGCCAGTCAAAAGGGCTGCCATTCAACAGCCAGGTGCTGTTAGTCGGCGTTTAGTCGAATTTTCGCGAACAAGCTCTCAAAATGAATCGAACTTATTTACTGGATTACAGCTAATTTATTATCACTTCACCCTTCTGTTGATTCCTGCGATATGGATATTTCAAAGTGCTTTTTGCAAACAGAGGGTACCACGTTGTGTTGAAAGAGCATCAAGATGACTGATGCACGAATATATAGAATGTGGTGAATGTGGATACTGTTGGCCGTGATAGGCACTAGACCGAAATAACCGAAAGTGATCAAACCGTGTCTTTGCATCTAGTTAAGAAACTCTCGAACACGAGACTTCATGACAAAATGTGCGTTTGATTTCGTGATCGGGAATTCGAGACCAAATTGAACAGTGGATTGAATAACAAAGTGATTGGTCTAAGCGTTTTAACAAAAACACCTTTGAGCATATTATGTCCATTCTATCCTTTGTTCGGATTTGCTGTCACACTTTTATATATTTTGTCAACTCAGTGTTCATAGTTTGGGTCAGTGGATCACAAAAATAAGGCAACAAAAAGAAACTAATAAAAGGAAAAGCTCAGTGCATTCAGAAACCGAGAGAAACATCCTGGATTCAATTTCGCAAGTCTTTGTTCAGTAGAAATGCAACCTACTGATTCAGAGAAAATTGTTCTTTACCCATTTTTGCGATGCTCAATACTAGCAAATCATGTTTGTACAATCGATATTCAATAATATTTCCCCAATTATTTGTTGCTTTACCCAATTTTCACTCTTATGTTTGTGACAAAAGGCGATCCAGGCTGTTTATGAACGGTTTCTGTTAACCACAGTTACACTGTTAGTACAGTCTTACCATGAAAAACCGAAGACTCTAAAATTAATCCAATTTGAACTGTAATCTTTTGATTTGAATTCCAGTCTTTCTTTTGGTTTATTTAAACAGGGCCTATTCGTGGATGTGGTCCTTCCGTATTCCGCGGCCAGTCAGGCAGGTATCAAAGAGGGAGACGAACTTCTTAGAGTCAACAATCAATCCGTTAATGGTTGGAGCCAGGATTCCGTATCTCAAATGCTACGCGAAATTCCGCCTGAGCAAACTTTAAAATTGTATGTTAAACAACTTTTACCCCTGCGAGAGTTGATCCAAAACGCCCGCGTGGAAGAGACAGTACGCTGTTCGAACGCGTGTCAAACGCACGGGACAAGCGCAGCGGCTAAATCCAACTGGGCGCATTATCAAGCTCTAACTGCGGATTCCCTTCCTCACCATTACGATTCACTTATTCCCGATCTGGGTCGCGACAACTGCCACCCTGATCAGGATTCACATTGTCATCATCTTCCGGACGGACAGCAGCGCACTGTGGTCGGACAAACGGCTGTGGATGCAGTCGAAAATCCTGGTGGTTATCAAGGTATTCAAAAACTCCTAATCGATCCGCTTGCGGAAGTTTCACATTCAACCACCAGCGGCGTGGGTGGACAGGTCACTAATCATCATGACCTAATGGACAGTAACGGAACTGCATCACACTCCCCATTTCGAATGATTAACAGTCTCAGTGACTGGACAATCGGACAAAACGCAAATGAACCCTCGGGTGATATCTGATCATCGTTTTGTTTGAGGAATACCAACAACAATCTTTGTGTGTAAAATAACGCAATGTATATCAATTTTCCCGTATTTGAAACAGTCAACACGTATTTGTATAAACATCCCATTTTGTACATCGTGAATCACATTCAAATAAAATTTGTGAATGCCTTCCTCTTGGAGCTGACAAGTTAAAAAACGGAATCTTTGATACATTACTCCGGTGAATTTTGATAGGTATAGATTCTCATTTGCTTTCCGCTTACACTGAGAGGAATTTACTTCTTTTTCTTCAAACTCCAAGGAACATGTTGCGCAATCCGCGCTAAAGGAATTTCAAGAAAGATCGATAATGTGTTCGCATCTTCGGTTCTAGATTGCGGCATCCAGCCTTTCTGACTTTGAACCCAATAAACTTAATTTGTGAACGTTGAACATCCGGCTTGCCAACTCTGATGGGACTACAACAGCCGAGGCGAAATCGAATATAGATATATTCTATGCCCCCTTTTAGCGTGGCAAGCAGATATTCGACGACATTCAGATTGACTTTGAAGGGCCTCATCGTTTCAGAGACATAATTGTCATAATATATTTATAAATATATTTTGAACTGCCAACAGGAAACAAGACTGGAGTTTGTTTGGAGCACATTAATTTACGAAAGTATTTCAAGTACTACGTGTCACTAGATATGGCTTTAAAACGTGTGCGACATGCGGGTATTTTTGGATGTGTATCCTTGATGTTCACTGGATGAATATAAACGTATTTGCAGGGCAACTTCCCAAAACATTTACACACTACCGTATCGTTACTCCAGAGGTGTAATTCACACGAGTGATCAACAGAACTAGGCCAATTTCGCTGCATCTCAGCAGACAATACAGCAAAAAACCATTGTCTATATCGCTTGACTGTACATGCATTCCGCACCAATACTTCAAAAATGAATGATCATAATACCAAGGCAGCGACACTGACGGACTATTCCCTTCACGAACTCCGTTCAGATGAACGTCTTTGAATTACAACAGATTCTGCAAACATAAGAAGCTGGGCCGGTAATCTAGGCTGAAGTATTTCAGATGATTCCTGAATACCGAAACAAAAATATTTCCATAAGTGGTAGACATAATTTTGAAAGTGTGTTATGAAAACCGGTGCGGTGAGAATGATAAAGAAAGCCATAAAGGGATCATATCCGTTTCAAGTTGCTCGTACAATCACATGCGCAAACAGGGGTATTACTATGAATCTCTATGAATTCCAGCGTTGCATGGTTACCGTCTGTGTGGTCCCATTTTCAAACAGAACGAACCCGACAAAAGAATGATGGCTTGTCAATCCGCTGACTACTGGTAAACTCAAGTGTTCACCTTGTCTGCTTCATATTTCCTCGTTTTACGCCTAACTAATTCTGTGCCTATTGACACGACCAAATTGGGCGGTACTTCTTGATTAGGCTTACACTGAATTTACTCCTTACGGATATGCTCCTTTTGTTGACATGAGCACGAATTTAAAACAATCATAACCTAAACATCAAACGTAAATATTGTTGTGCACGCACCGGCAATACACTCCAAGTGTGTTGGTTGGTAGTTGTGCGTTTTGAGTGTTCTCAGCGCCATGACCAATACGTTGCCACAATTGTGCAGACCAAATTCAAATTCAAATTCAAATTCAAATTTTTATTATGGGATATAACTTACAAAGACT